TGACACCTTTGCTTGTGCCTAGGGATTGAGGTGGGGTTTGGGGGTCAATGAACCTCAGAGCCTAGAGACACAGCCTGGCCCAGTGGCAGGGGAAGGGCCCCTGAAGGCAGGACTGGCTCTGTGCACTCATCCTGGGAACCAATGGGAGCTGACGCTTCTTGCTTGACCTCCTCTGACCTTTCACAGATCGAAGAGGTTCCCGGCGAGCTCATGCAGGAAGACCTGGCTACTGATGATGTCATGCTCCTGGATACCTGGGACCAGGTGAGTTAAGGAGAGAAGGAGAAGGCCAAGGTAGAGGGAGAAGCAGGACTCTTAACAAGGAGGGCATAAAAGACACAACTGCGCCCGGCAGTGGTGGCTCACACCTTTAATCCCAGCACTCGGGAGGCAGAGGCAGGTGGATCTCTGTGAGTTCGAGACCAGCCTGGTCTACAAGAGCTAGTTCCAGGACAGGCTCCAAACCTACAGAGAAACTCTGTCTCGAAAAACAAAACAAATAAACAAAAAACAAACAAACAAAAAAAAATGACACAGCCGGGCAGTGGTGGCACACGCCTATAATCCCAGCACTTGGGAGGCAGAGGCAGGCGGATCTCTGTGAGTTCGAGGCCAGCCTGGTCTACAAAGGGAGTTCCAGTTCAGGCTCCAAAGCTACAGAGAAACCCTGTCTTGAACCGCCCCCCCCCCAAAAAAAAGAAAGACACCGCACCAGGTGTTTCCAGGGAGGTCCTGAATGGCTGTAAACCACATCGTCTGCTCTCTCTGAGCCTCCATTTCCTCAGATGTATAAAATGGAAGCAGCGGGACCTGCCTGGCAGGTGCATGGCCACTGGAAACTGTAAAGCCCCCTAGAAACCCAGGCTGCATAACCGTGCTTCCTGCCCTGTCCCCCTTAGCCTCAGGCACTGTGCATTCTGACCTGAAGTCTGTATGAAGAAGGTTGAACTTAGTGTGTCAGAAGTGTGCAGCAGGCCACAGCAGCCCATTCATTTGGAGGCTTGGGGATATCACTCCCCAGCTCTGGGATCTCTCACGTTATCTGCTAGGGTGGCTGCTGTGGAGGACCCAGAATGGACGGCATTCATTCATTCCCCCAGCATCAACTGAGCACCCGAACAGTGCTCTGTAGGGGATGCTGGAAATGAAGGATTGCACCAAGTTGACCTCCTCTCCCCTCAGGTCTGTTCCCATGGGAGCGTCAGCTCAATAACCCCTTCTGTCAAGTACCTGCTCCCAGCATCCTCCAGGCTATAGAATGGCTGGACACAAAGTCTGTCTTTCTCCCATGGGGCGGCTTTGGGGCAGCCCAGTGGGAAGATGGTGGTTTGCAGCTTGAGCCATTCGACTGTCATTGTTGACTAAGTTGCTGGTGACTTCACCTGCTTATGCATCTCATTGGCAGTCCTTGGCCAATGTTTCTTGGCAATTCCATCTTCCAGGCAAAATGTTAAGTGCTGGGAATCCTGAGACAGCCAAAGGGACACAGGGCCCATCCCAGCTCAGAGGCTTTCCCAGTTCTCTAAGGAACACGTTTCATAAATAAGAAAAGGCAGTCAAGCCTGACATTTTTTGTCTAAGGTATCTGACAACATCGATTGCCATTGATCAGTGACAATTGCTCTTGAGTGTGATTATCTTGAGAGATGCATAAAAATAGATGCAGAACTGGGGCGATGGACCAGCAGACAGAGCGCTTGCTGCACAAGTATGAGGACCCGAGTTCAGGTCCCTAGACTTCAAGGAAAAGCTGAGAGTGATAAGGTGTGCCCACAATCCCATGCCCCTGAGGCGAGAGGAGAATAGAGGAACCAGATGGAATCCCCCAAAAGCTCACAGGCCAGCTAGTCTGGTTACAACACTGTGAAAAGAAGATCCTACCTCAAAGTGTACGGTGAGGACCCACACCCAAGTTGTCCTCCGACCTCCCCATGTGCACTGAGGCACAAGTATGCACACATGCATACACACAAAGATTTAAAGAAAAATAGATGGTGTGTAAAGACAACCAGAGTAGGTTTCTGTGTGTGACCAAACTTGTCGTAAGGCTCACGGTGGCATGGACTCTTTATTACAAGCTTTAGACATATACTAGTCAAGACGCAGAGATGGGTAGCCTTTGTTGGATGGCTAAGAGCATCTGTCCACCCATTTGTTGAGTGAATCACGCCTTTGAAGGTGTGACTCATGAAGAGGGGTTTCCAACTCTGCCCCCTATGTCGCAATGGTTCTGAGTGAAGCAGACTGGGATGAGGAGACTTGAGGAAGGGTGCAGCCTGATGCGAACTGGACCTGCCCCCCAGAGGGGCCTCACCTCTCAGCTGCACCCTAGTGAAGGTGATGGCCCAGCCTCCAGGTCCTCCTGTGCGTCTTTGTCTTTGGCACAGCGGCTGCACCTTGTTCTACTGCTGTTTCAGCCAGCAACTGTGGCTCTGCCGTTGTTGGTTGTTTCTCTGACAGTGACCTGACTGCTCATGCCTCAGCCTAGCGGGAACTCTGTTCTTGCAGGCACCAGCTCTGTCCTCACCACTAAATCTCTATCGTTCTCTTTATCAATAAGACTTGAGATTCAAAGGTGGCATTGAAAACTTGCTAGATCGAAGAGGTTAAGTAGCAATTAACTAACCTCTCTCCTTGCTGGGTCTCCCCCAAAGCCCATTCTTCCACTCCACCAAAACAAAAAAAGCTGTGCCAATCCAACGCCCTCTGGCTCATCTCCGCCTCTCCCGCCCTTGTTTTTTGAATGGCATTGACTGTCACCAGCACATCTCATGGGATTTTCATTCATGTCTCACCTCCAGGTCTTCGTCTGGGTTGGAAAGGACTCACAGGAAGAGGAAAAGACAGAAGCCTTGACCTCTGGTGAGGATGGGAGGCTCTCTAGTGGGGGTGGGATCTTTAGCTGTGGTGGTATCTTTGGCTGTGGGAGTTGGCTGTGCGGGTTGGGGTCTTTGTGGTGGGTGGGGTCTTTGGTTGTGGGTGGCTGTAGGTAGGTGATGCTGTTCTAGGAGTTAGCATCCCTGGGGTGGGGACTTCCTGCTCATAGTCTGTCCCTCTGGAGCCCTGCTTGGGGTGACTATGCCCTAGAGGCTTTCTATAACTGCCTGAGGCAATGAGTTTATCAAGAAGAAGGGTTATTTGGGAAGGTTCAGCCCAGGTGGATTCAGACTCTGTGAATTTTGAGACTGTAACAAAGTATTAAGGTGGTGGGGAGCGTGTTCAGAGTAAAGCCATCCGACTTCCAACAGAGATAAAAGAGTGGGGTCTCACTGCCACCTTAAAGGACCTCAAGGGGCAGAAGACACCACCCCTTAGAGTTCTCACTTCCCCCAGACTGAGGACCCAGGCTTTGAGGGATGTTCCAGGTCTAAACTATTGCAGGTGTGAAAAAATAAATGTGTCCCTTCAGAATGCCTGAGGATTTCCCGGGGAACGGAACAGAGGCAAGCCCATGTTCAAGTCCCAGGATGTTGAAGGGATTTTATTGTTAAGGTCTCTGTGTGGGAAAGCAGAATCTTGGTAACTAATCTTGAGGCTGAACTCTAGGACTGGCTTCATTTAATATCTTAATCAGCAGGAGGAAATGATATACTCCGGTGTTGAGGGCAGTCCAACATGAGGTCTTTACTTTAAGCATTGGTGGTGGTCAGTAGGGCCGAGACCGCATTCTCTGGCAGCCCCAACTCTCTCCCTGAGGAGGAGACCCTAAGAATCACTGGATTTCTTCTCCATGTGTGCCTGCAGCGAAGCGGTACATCGAGACAGACCCAGCTAATCGGGACAGGCGGACCCCCATCACGGTCGTGAGGCAGGGCTTTGAGCCTCCATCCTTTGTGGGCTGGTTCCTCGGCTGGGATGACAACTACTGGTCGGTGGATCCCTTGGACAGGGCCTTGGCTGAGCTGTCTGCCTGAGTAAGGACCAGAGCCACCGCTCTCACCAGTCAGTGCCTTTGAGAATTCCCATCTCCCAAAGAGCTCATACAGCAAGCAGAAAGTTATTCTGTGTGTGTGTGTGTGAGTGTGTGTAGTGTATGTGTGTGTGTGTGTGTGTTTTTTACAGTAGCCAAAACCAGACCTGGGAAAATTCAGGGTCTTTACAAAATTGCCTCAAGTATCTGCTTTGGAAATTAAATTCAATAAAAGCTTTTTGAAGTGTGTTCTCCCCAGGCATGTCACTGCTTTGTTCAGTCCTTGGCCCTAGCCACACAGTAGTCTCTGAACCTGCTCCTAGTCCTGATGATTTGGCGGTGCCCAGGTAGGGGCCTCCGGGGGCTGTAAGCCAGCCGATGAACTCCAGCCACCTTGTGTAATGGTCCTTGAGAAGTTGATGGCACACCACAGAGTGCTCTAGCTTGCCTTCTCTTGTGATAAAAACAGTGACCAAAAGCAACGAGGAGGAAACGGCTTCTTTTCTCTCCTAATTTGTAGCCTGTCATGAAGGGAGGTCAGGGCAGGAACTGAAGAAGAGGCCATGGGGGAATGCTGCTTATTGGCCTGCTTCCCAAGCCTTGCTTATACAACTCAGGCACCACCACCTCTAGTGGGCTGGAGCCTCTCCCATCAAACATTAATCAAGAAATGTCGCCACAGACTTCCCTACAGACCACTGGGAGAGGTAACTGCTCAGCTGAGGTTCCCTCGCCCAGATGCTCCTGGGTTGTTTCTAGCAGACAAAAACTAACCAGGATAAGAAGCCGGCAATCAAGAGGCTGACCAAGAGGGGCGGGAAGGAAAGAGGCCGAGTGGACGTGTTCTGCTTACTGCTTGGTCCTACAGTGTCTGCAAAGCTTTAGGTAGGCCTGGTCCAAACAGGAAACGTTTTGATTTGTTTTAAATTGAGGGTATGGTTCATTTTTTGTTTGTTTGTTTCTTTTTTTGGAATTGAACCCCAGATCCTGTGCAATGTAGATAACTGCTCTGCCAGTGAGCTACACTCCCAACCTGCTTCTCTCTCTCTCTCTCTCTCTCTCTCTCTCTCTCTCTCTCTCTCTCTCTCTCTCTCTCNTCTCTGCTATGTGAGCTGCAGGTGCCTTTACCCTCTGAGCAACTTCACTTCCCCCTTCCTGAACCCTGTGCTATTTTATTTTGAGGAATGGTCTCACTAAGTTGTATAGTGTAGCCAAACTTTTTCTCTGTCCTGTCTGTAGGTTCCCACAGCCACTTATGAAATAATCATTTGGAAGCTTAATATCTTAATATTAATTATAATTGCTTGGCCAATGACTCGCTTCTTACTGGCAAGCTCTCTATATAAATTAACCCATTTCTAATAATCTGCATATCTCCATGTGCCCCGTGGTTTACCGGTAATGCTCTGCTGGCATCTTATTCCTCCAGCAGCTGTTGGCATCTCCCTGACTCCACCCTCTTTCTTCCTGTCTCTCAGCCTGGACTTCCTGCCCAGCCACACTCTGCCCTGCCATACACCAAAGCAGCCTCCCCATCAGCCAATCGTAATAAACACATTGACAGCATACAGAGAGGCATTTATTTGAATTGCAAATATCCTTCTCACCCTCCCCCAAACTGAGATTCTAGGTATGTGCTACCATGCCCAGTTTTTTGTTTTTTATTTTTCCTTTTGTATAACAAGTTTAGTATGACAGAGTATTTTATTTTAATCAGTCATAGGCATATAATTCAGTGATATTACACAGATCTATAATGTATATATAAATGTTTAAAAAGGATTTTTAGTTTTATGTGTATGAGTGTTTGGCCTGTATGTATATGTGTGCACCATGTGAGTGAGATAAAGGAACTCTAATTCTGGCGCTGAAGTTGTAGACAGTGGTGAGCTGCCGTGTGGCTGCTGGGACTCTAACCTGGGTCCTCTTGAAGAGCAGCTAGTTCTCTTAGCGGCTGAGCTGTCTCTCCACCCCAAACCAAACATTTTTATAGCCCTCAGTCTTAGTAATTAATAATGACAGTAGCAACAGTAATAATAAATTATAACAATATTGCTTTTTTTTCAAAGCAGGGTTTCTTTGTGGAGTCATGGGTGTCATGAAACTCTATAGACCTCTATAAACCAGGCTGGCCTCGAACTCATAGAGATCTACCCACCTTTGCTTCCCAAGTGGTGCGATTAAAGTCATATACTACAACCCCTTGCTTCTAAGTGCTTATTAAATAAATAAACTATCACCTTCTCTTTTTTCATCACCCCAGGAATCTCTGTTCTTTCAGCCTTTATAAGGTTGACTGTTCTGCATCCCTCACCTAAGAGGGGTCACATAATATGTATTGTCTGTGTCTGGCTTATTTTACTCAGAATTATGCTTTAAGATCAGGCTTTGATCACCACTGATGGGTGAACACCACTCCATTGCATGGCTGTACCTCATCCATTCACCCAGCATGGATGGTGGATTATTTCCACCTTCTGACTATTGTGTGCAATGCTGCTGTGAACGCAGGGTGAAAATACGTATTCTTTGAATGTTCTGAGTCAAATGGGCATGTGAGTCTTGCCTCCCCTGTCCTGTTCACTGTCATTAGGAGGCCTGGCCTTGATAGAGTTCAAAGCCAACTACATTCTCTAGAGTAAGAAGCAGACAAAGTGTGTTATCATAGAGGCATCGCCTGTGGTGTCTGCCTGTATCTGTTTTCTACAGCTGGTCCCTTCTGTTTATTCTATTACTCAAGACTCTTTGGTGAGATCTCTGCCTTGGCAACTGCCGTAGCCAGAGAGGCTCCTGGATCTGCCCAGGTTTGCAACCTTTGGAACACAGGGGAGGTATTCCTTAGTGTCCAATGTGGTCCCTCTAGGCCTGAGTCTCTGCTGGTCTTCAGAGCATCAGAACTCCCTCCTGGACGCTCCCACGAACTGCTTCAAAAATTTTTCTCCTGGAGGTGCCAGACCAGTGGAAGGAACTCAAGGACGGAGCCTGTTCCCTCCCTCTTTCCTTCTGGAGTTGTCTGACCACTTTTCCTCCTCTTGGCCCATGCCACTCCATGTTACGGGAGGGAACTTCTGTATGTGGACTATAGAACAGCCCAGGGTGAGCTTTGGATGGTAGGAAGCCTGCGAGAGAGATGTCTGTATTTACACTGTTGTTTCCAACTCTGGCTGGGCCCAGAAACTGTCCAGGGAGCTTTTTAGAAGCATGGTTCCCTTGGGCCCTGTCTCCAGAGAATCTGAGTCATTGCCAGAGTGATGAGGGCACCACAGGAGGAATTTTCCTAGTGGAAGAGGAGCTGGGTTGAGAAACAAAGGTGGGGTGCTGTGGGGGGGAATGGAGCACTCGGGGGGCAGACGTGTGGCCAGAGCAACTTGGGAGTAAGCAGTGGACAGGAGCTTTGAACACTGTGCCAAGAGGCTTGCCTTGCCTTGCCTACCTCCAAAGGGTGGCTTTTGGTAGTCAAAGCAATTGACCCGGCAAGCATAACATCCTGAAAATGCTTAGCAGAACAGCAGACCAGAGTTAAAACAGTTCATCTTGGAAGGAATCACAAAGCTGCAGGCATTAAACTCCAGAAGTAAACAACATGAAAGCCTCAGGAAGTCCCTGAAGCCAATCCTGTCCATTACGGCTCTCCCTCCCCACGTTTACCTAAGCTGCTAAGGACTGCTGGGAGGCTCAGAGAAAGCAGGTTGCCCAGAGATGCTCAGTATTCCAGGTCTGGAAGAGACAACTCTGCCTGTTGAGCTGAAGCTCTGTGAGCTCCAGGTGCCCAGCTTACTACACTGTCACTCATCATGGGGTGAGCTTTGATGATGCAGCTAGCTGTCTCTAAGTCATTTCTGCTCTTGTAAGTGACCCCAATAAACCCATTTGGTTCATCAAGTTGGACTCTGCTGGTCTCCTGCAGAGTTGGCTCACTCTCTGGGAGAGTAGCTGCTTATTCACACTTCCCCAGGGTCAGTGACACACGACAGGGCCTTCCCTTCAGGGAGATGGAGGTTGCTGTGGACAAAGCCAGCTTGCTTCCTGGAAATCCATGGTTCTGCCTTAACCCAATGTAGGATTCTAGCAAGTGGTGGAAAATTACATGCATAGATCCTCGTGCATTGTGGGAGCAAACTTGCCCTGTGCTGGGGTGACTAGGATGTGTTAGACTGTACATGATGAAGAACTAGCCCAAACTAAGTCGCCTCAGGAGCTCTCTGTGAGAATTCAGAGTTTTTGGTGTTTGACTCAAGCCACTGTGGGTTTAGGTTTCCCACCAGCTCTGTTGGCTTTGAGCATCAGAATGGTAGTCAAGTATCTGTGGGCATTAGGGCTCTCAACTGTGCATCGGCAAGCTGAGGGAAAGACAAATCCGTTTTTTGTAAACGTTTTCCTTGGGGAGGGAGAGGATGAGCTGCTTCCAACTCCACAGAAAACCTTCCTTCGGTTCTCAGGAATCCGCATGCCCATTCCTGGCCAGATAAGTGAGTGAGGTCCATCTGGTTGCTGGGTGAATTTCTCCTGTCCTGAGTGAACATTCTTAGAGGGATCCTGGGGGAACACTAAGGGTTCTGAGGCAGGAAGGAGGCAAGAAGACAAGAAGACACAGTGAATGGCTATTTGGTTGACTTTTGGGGGGGGCCAGATGCTAAAAATAAAAACCTTAACAGTAGACTCCTGCATCTTTGTGTAGTCATTATCAGAGGAAATACATTTTGTTTCGTATGTATAGGTGCATGTGCACATCACGGCAGATCTGTGGCAGCCAGAAGACAACCTGTGGAGTTGATAGGGCTTTCAGGCAGGCACCTTTGCTCACTAGAACCTCAGTTGTCACAACGGCTTTCAACTTCCTCTCACAAAGCCCTTCTGGTTACAGGGCAGATTTAAAACAGCCGTGCGCATCTCTTTAGTTGCCACGTCCACAGCAGTGACTGCCGTGTAGTGACAAAATGCCTCTGCGCTGGCTTTTGCCTGCTGAAGGATTGGGGTTAGAGCTTCCTGGAGCGAAGCCCCAGGCGGTCCCCTGGCAATCAGTGGTCAAGATAGGACCTGATGCCGTAGGCAGATCTCATATCTGGAGATGGCCTTGGGAGCGAGCCCTCCTGGCACCCTGCATGATCTTTCTCTGTATTTCTAATCTTTTCTGTTTTTAGCTGACCGCTTACCAAGAAATCAAAGTACGTCCTTGGCTCGGCCCCACCGTTCATTAAAGCAGTCCTTGAGGAAATAAAGTATGCCCCACGCCACATGAGCCTGGGAAACTTTATTAATTATGATACAGAAACGGCTAAAGTTGATATGTTACGAGGGAATCGTCATAGTGAATCAGATTTAGAGAAAAAAGGAGAGTTAGAGAAAATTCCCCAGCGCACTCCTTGATTCACTTCCTTATACAGGAGCCTATGATGAGCAAGGGAATAGATGGGTTAATGTTGATGGACAAAGACTGTTATATTATACTTTCAACTTTATGGATAGGCTTGCTAGACCCCAACCCCCATGATGTCTGCCGCATAAGAAGGTACTAAAAATATAGTTCAACAGGTGCAGAAAACTGATTAGGTATATTTGGTCACTAGACGAAATAAAGGGTTAAGAGGAGGAAGGGCCATGATAGCAATAATAAGACAGAAACTTTCTGTTCATAAGATGTAACCACTTGCCTGAGGCTTACAGTCCCAAGGACAGGAGTTCCTCTTCTAAGATTTACAGTCCCAAGGACAAGAGTTCCTCTTCTAAGGACGCTTTGTGTCTAACACCTGTTCCTGATAACATACTTTTTAAACATTGCTAAAAGAAGTTTTCATACTGTGCCAACTAATGATACATGACTTTCTGACTTGTTCTTTGTTTGAATACTATATAATGAAAGCATGATTTTAGTAAAATCGCAGCAGATTCTCACTACACAGTGTGTCTGTCTGTCATTCCCTTGCATCGTATCCTGGCTATCCTATCCTTCACCCTGTTCTCCCATGGATAGCGGTCTCCAAGAGGGACGGTCCATGGCATTTAGTGTTGCCTTTAGACAAACCCTAGCCTCATCTGAGCCTGGACCTGCTCTATACCTGATGTTGTGGGCATCATTGCTAAGAGACAAACAGCCTGACGAATCCAGAGATCCCCCGGGGCCTGGTTCACACGCCAGGTAAGATTATGAGTGAAAGGGAAAGATGGCAGCCTGCTGTGCACAGCGCTTGGCACTAGATAAATCGTCATTCTCTGAGTGTGATCTTTAGTTGGCACAAAGCTGTTTCGGGTAACTGGGTATCTATTCATAGAGTTAGGGTATAGGAATCAGGTTGTCCAGGAGTTCTGATGTTTCCAAGGCGCGGTTGCTGGAGCAGTGTTTCCCTCGTTAAGTATACAAGTTTGCATGCTCCCCGATGTGTGCAGTTTTCAGTGATGATCTATAGCTTTTAGCACACTCTCAAAAGGATGGCAGATAGGACCCATCCAAGGGCATGGTACAGACTGGGTGGTTCAGGGAAAAACCCTCAGGAGCATCATTTTCAAATTGGAATCCGCAGGTTTCTATGAGGGACTTCTGAGATCTTATAAACAGAATTCAATCTCCATGTAAGTGGTAAGGAGATCGGATGCTAAGAAGCATAGCTGAGTGGAGGGCCCGAGTTGAAGGCCCCTTCTGTGACTGTTCTCACTGAAGCACTCAGTGCTGTAGATGCGGACACTGGGAAGGGACACGTGTCCCAGTGCATCATTCCCTTGAAAATAAGGTTTTGCTGCTAAAAGGAAATCTGAAAAGCAATGGTAGGTGGCCAGGCTCGACAGTGTGGCGACTCACGGGGTGAGAGCCAGGCATGGAAAGACGGCAGGGTGGGAAGACAGTGTGGGGACTCACAGGGTGGATGGCCAGGCATGGGAAGACAGTGTGGGGCTTCAGAACAGTGAACTAGAAAGCATAATAAACCCTGTGTTTTCTGTTTTCTTTTTTCTATTTGGGGGCATGCTGTGAACATGTTGTTACAGTCAACCAGCTTCCCTCTTTGCTCTGAATCAGTAAGGTTTCAGAACCTATAACTCAAGTTAAGATTTAAGCCCTCCCTCCCCACTATGAATGCAAACTCCAGTGAACTTCTTCACAGCAACACCACAGACTCTGACAGGGGGAAACTGGTTATAGGGACACACTTTATTACACACGGCTGAAGGGGAGGACTCGTGAAAACCCACAGCAGCACCCTTCCCACGGCTCGCTGTTCCCCTCTCCTCCCTGTGACTGCGCTGTAGTCTACTGGGTGACTAATT